ACATTACAAACCCATCTTACCTCTTTAACTCCACCCCTCTGACCACCTGTCTCCATTTACCATCCAATCAAGTCTTAACAATTTGATGCATCTGAAATTGCATGCTTCCCTACTATTTTGCCCCCAAAAACATGGGTGCGTCTCAATCAGCCCCCTTGTTCTCTTTCAGAAGTAAAGGTACAGGAGCTGTCACTGGGGCAGTACCTTTTCAAAAGGTACATATTTGTACTTAAAGGGTCCATAATGGTACCTCAGAGGTACTTTTTAGGTACATCTGGGCACTAATATGCACCTTTGATGTACTACTGAGGACTCTTTGGGTACAAATATGTATGTTTTGAGCGTTCAGTAGTCAGTGCACTGATCAAGGCATCAGCCATTTTAAGTGCTGTCTCAATCGCAACATTCTTTCAGTGCACTGAAACATTTGTGTCCTGAAAAGTCCCACAATGCACCATGAAACTTCTTCGATATGCACTATGCGCCCCTAACGGTCCCATGAAGTGCTTTGAAATGTGCATTTTTCTGTTCAATGTTTGACATGATCTTAACTGAACCACAAAGAGGGTGGGACATAGAGTAACTACTCCCCTTTAAAAATAGTTTCGAGGGGTTGAGCTGAAGCGTATAAAAATAAAAAGTGCTCTGAAGGGGGCGGGGCATGTCAGATACTAGAAAGCATTTGATTGGTCAAGCTTTGATGAGAAAGTGCAGTATTAGGTAATAAAAGCAGTGATCAATTTAGGCGGAAGTGACAAACTTCCAGCTTTGGATGTTTATAGCAGTTTTATATTTTCTAAACGCTAATTTTGTCATGGTTTTGGAGCTAATAATTACCCTTTAAACTACCAGATTGAAACTAACATCTAATTTTTAAATTTATTTTAATTTCGCTGGACCTTTAACGAACGTTCAGAAGTAAGTAAGTAAGTAAGTAAAGTTTATTTATAAAGCACATTTACTTTAGTTTGGCACTGACCAAAGTGCTGAACAAAACCATAGCACACACTCTAAAAGAGTAAAAGATAACAATAAAAGTAATAATAGGAATAAAAGTATTACAGCAACAACCACAATAAAAATTAAAAGCCTGGAAATGCAATAGAATAAAAATGTGTCTTAAGTCTGGACTTAAAAATAGAGAGAGAAGAAGAACTTGTAATATCCGGTGGTAGCTGGTTCCACAAACGAGGAGCAGCGACTGCAAAGGCTCTATCCCCTTTCAGTTTAAGTCGTGACCGAGGAACTTGAAGTAAAATTTTATTTGAGGACCTAAGAGACCGAGGAGTTGACTGTAAGTTAATAAGCTCTGATATATAAGAAGGTGCTTGCCCATTCAGTGCTTTAAAAACAATAAGTAAAATCTTGAACTGAATTCTAAAATTAACAGGAAGCCAATGAAGGGATGCTAAAACTGGTGAGATATGAGCATGTTTTTTGGTGCCTGTTAAAAGTCTAGCTGCCGCATTTTGAACCAACTGCAACCGTGCCAATGAGGATTGGGGGAGACCAACATATAGAGAATTGCAATAGTCTAGGCGAGACGTGATAAAAGCATGTATGACCTTTTCCAGATCTTGAAAGGAAAGAATGGATTTGAGTCTGGAGATGATCCTCAGCTGATAATAACTATTCTTAACCACTGAGCTAATTTGTTTTTCTAGACAAAGCTCAGAATTAAAGATAACACCTAGATTTTTTACTTGCGATTTAACATACGGTGCAAGACTTCCCAAGCCCCCAATATACAACATTCTTGTTTTTGAGGGGCCGAAGAGAATAACTTCAGTTTTGTCATTATTAAGTTGAAGGAAGTTTTTTGCCATCCAACATTTAATATCCTCAAGACAATTAATTAGAGACTGCAGGGAGTTCTGAGATTTTAAAGGAACATACAGCTGAGAGTCATCTGCATAAAAATGAAAAGATGTTATGTTTCCTTATAATATTACCAAGAAGAAGCATATATAAGTTGAAGAGCATTGGACCCAGAATAGAGCCCTGGGGGACACCACACAGAAGAGGGGCAGATGTTGACATAAATTGGCCAACAGAAACTGAAAAACTGAAAGCATGAAATATGAATTGCGTGACCCAAATCAGCAAACGTAATGACAAACAAGCTATGTTTTTCTGAAAAGAATCTGTTCTTTTTATAATGAACATAACTAGGAACCATCTAGCAAACATTTATAATTGTTCAATAGTTGAAATGTTCCTAAAAATCAAATAATCAAATTATTTAGCTATAATGTACTTCTAAAAATGTATTAAATCTAATAGATGAATATAAATATTTGTTTATCAATTCCAGTTTTGATGATGTACACATAAAAAACTAAGTTTGCTGTTTGTTTAAACTACTTATTTAAAATGAGCTGGAACAGCCCACTTCTTGAGTTTTTGGGGGGACCACTTAATTGTTTTATATTCGTCAACTTAAACTTAAAAAAAAAAAAAAAATTATGTTAACCTAATTGCTTTAAGTTGTCCCAAAACAACCCGATAGTATGGACCCCACCATTTTTTACAGATTATAATGTGTCCTAAACGGTACAAAATACTGGGTTTCACACAATTCCTTCATATTGTGTTTCAAGACCCATCTTTTTAAGCAGGCTTTCTTTTGACTACTTTTTTATTATGTTATTTTATATCCATGATGTGTTTGTACCTGCGACTCTCAGAAATAAAGGTACGTGAGCTATCACTGGGGTGATAACTTTTCAAAAGGTACACATTTGTACTTAAAGGGTCCATATTGGTACCTCAAAAGTATATATTGGTCCCCAAAAATTTCAAAAGGAACGCTTTGTACTTTTTAGGTACCAATACCGTTGAAACCAGAAGCTTACATACGCTAAATAAAGGAACATAACCATTTTCAAAAAAAGTCTGATGGTAAATCATACTAAACGTTTACTATTTTAGGTCTGTTAGGATTACCTAATTCATTTACATTTGCTAAATGCCAAAAAAATGCATTAATAATTTTATTAATTTCTAGACAGTCAAAAGTTTACATACATTTCCTTGGTATTTTTTAGTTTTGCTTTTAAACTGTATAACTTTGGTCAGATTTTTTGGGTATCCCTCCACAAGCTTCTCACAACAGTTTGAAGGAATTTGGGCCCCTTCCTCCTGACAGAATTGGTGTGAGTGAGATTTGTTGGCTGTCTTGCTCGCACAAGCTTTTTCAACTCTGCTTGTAAATTTTCTATAGGATTGAGTTCAGGGCTTTGTGATGGCCACCCCAAAACATTCATTCTGTTGTCCTTAAAGCAATTTTTAACTAATTTGGCATTATGCTTAGGGTCATGGTCTTTTCGGAAGACCCATTTGTGGGTTCTTTCTTCATGATGCCATCTATGCTGTGAAGTGGACCAGTTCCTTCTGAAGCAAAACAGCCCCCCAACATGATACTGCCCCCATACTTCACAGTTGGGATGGTGTTCCTAGGCTTGCAAGCTTTCCCCTTTGTCCGCCATATGTAACACTGGTCATTATGGCCAAACAGTTCAATCTTAGTTCCATCAGAGCACAGGACATGTCTCCAAAAATAACTCTTTTTCCCAGTGTAATTTAGCAAATTGTTTTCTGGCTTTTTTCTTGATTCTGGCTTGTTGATTTTCCCATGTTGTCACACAAGGAAGCCGTGTGTTTGAGGTTTTCCTTAAATACTATTCTACTGTTGTGCCTCCAATTAACTCAAATGTTGTTAATTAGCCAATCAGAAGCTTCCAAAACCTTGACATCATCAACTGAGCTTTTTCAGAGGTATGATAATCTTTTTGTATGTAAACTTGACTTTCAAGAAAAGTTATAACAATTTCTCAAAATATCTCTCTCATTATTGTGTTATTAAAAAAAACAGAAACAAATGTGTTAATTCTAACTTACCTTTAGTCACATTAACATCTGACTTTTGTTTAAATAGTTATGTGCCTTTTTATACAGTGTATGTAAACGTATGTACCCTTGAGGTATTAATATGGACATTTTAGGTACAAATTTGTACCTTTTGCAAAAGGTACCACCCCAGTGACAGCTCACATACCTTTATTTCTGAGAGTGTACATGCGTTTAAAATGCTTGTTTGGCAATGTTTTATTAACTGTTTTAATGTGTTCTCCTATGGCTGTTGATGCTCATTGTAAGGTGTTCTCCTATGGCTGTTGATGCTCATTGTAAGGTGAGCTTGGGTGTCTAGAAAGGCACTATTTACAAATAAAATTAGTTATTATTATTATTATTATTATTATTATTATTATTATATGTTGTTTCAACACAAATAAATTAAGTTAACTAACCTTTTTTTTTACAAATTTAAGTGGATTGAACATAAAACAACTAAGTTGTTGCAAAAAATACAAAAGGTAAAAATCTCAAAAATAAAAATTGTGTTGATTCAGCTCATTTTAAATAAGTAGTTTAAATAAGTAGTTTAACAAGCACCAAAAAATAACATATTAAGTGTAAAGTGTAGTGAACCAAGTTCATCACTGACCTTCCCAGTGCTGAATTTCAATAGACAGGCTACTAATGATCGACCTATGAAGCTAGGGTGCTGATTGAGAAACACCCTATGAGTATCAAAAGAGGCATGATTTATTACACTTAACAAATGATTCAATGAATTTACTCATTTTTAAAGTAGGTGATTGTAAACTATTGATATGGGCCGCATGTAAACAAATGAAGCTGAACATTACTAAATTTAATTTGTTTGTTCAAATTCAGCTAATATTAATTTTTGCAAGCAAATTATATTAGTAATATTTAGTCAATTGTTTATATTTGGTACATTAAATTTGAGTAAATTCAATAAATCTTTTTTTTTTTTTAATCAGTATACTTGTGACAAAATGATTAAATAAAGTACCTACTTAAAAGCGTATATACCGTTATAGCCATAGAGTCCTATTAAAATGTATTTTCTTCATCAAATATCCTGTTCCATTCTCAAGTGCTCAGATTAGAGATTTAAACGGGCTTCGGCAGCGTTTCATGTTGACTTTAAAGTAGGATTAAAAACATCGGAAAACATCTCTCATTATACTCCAAAATCTGTGTACTACTGATATTGTTAGTATCAGTGCATTTACACACCACATTTCCTTCACAAAGGCGAATGGTCCAATAACATGTTCCTCTCATATCCACAGAGAAATCAAAAACGCACGTCTCTTAAATTACCTCAAAATAAATTGAGAAGAGATTTTCTCTTTGGGCTGTTCTTTTTCCTCTGATTGTGGAATCCAGTGAAGTGTAATAATCCTCCAGAATAGTCTATACACTCCAGGGTTTTCATCATTTCAGCAATTCTTTGTACGTTAATCAGTGCTGTCTGTGGCTCTGGTTGCACTTCCTCTGGTGGGCTCTAGGTGGCGGCGGTGTCCTGTAAACAGGTCTGACAGCAGCGTTGGCGATACAGATCCACTGAGCAGAGCTTTAAACGCTTGACCGCAGGACAGTAGTGCGTTCTGTCTTTACACTCGCCTACAGAAAGACACACAACACAACGGATAATTAGATTGGTATATTAACTGCAAATCTAAATATACTGGAACATAGACTAAACTAGACATAATCAATGGAAAATTGAAGAACACAGATGTAAGGATTAAGAAAAACAGTAAGTTAAGGATGTTTAACTTAATTTGTTACTTGCATTTTCTTTGAGATGGGGAAATTCACTTGCTGGTAACTGTGCCGAATGGATGTTTCCAGTGTGTGGATAAAATAACTAATGAACAAAAACGAATATAGACAAAAGGCGAAAACCAATAGTAGTTATGGAGCTGGTTTGCAAATGTTTGTAACTTGTTAATGAGTCTTTTGTGTTGTTTGTTATTATAATAGTAGTAGTTACGGTATTATTATTTTTGATAATACCAACAACAACCAGAATACATTGTTACAATAATCACAACAATTGTTATCACTTGTATATTATTCATATTCATATTATTATTGATAATAATACCAACAAATACAAAAATAAAGCATTGTTATTTTAATCCAAAAAATATTATTACTAGTATATTAATATTATTAATACAATTAATAATAACAATAATAAGTGCATCATCAACATTGCTACTACCACCACTAATTATATTTTTTTATTATTATCAATAGTGAATAATAATATTAATAATAAATATTGTTATGATTATTATAATAATAAAATGATAATACAATTAATAAAAACAATAAGTATAATTAAATTAAAACAATAATTATTATTATAAATAATGATCATATTAATAATAATACAATTAATACTAAAAATAATAATAATTATGTATAATAATAATAACAACAATAATAATAGATACAACAATAACGATACTACTTCTACCACTAATACTACTACTACTACTAATAATAATTATTATTTTTTTTAATTATTGCTATTTTTATTATTATTATTATTATTATTATAAATACTGTTATGATAATCAAAAATAGCACTAGTAAAATACTACTACTACTACTACTAATAATAATAATAATAATAATTATTATTATTATTATTATTACAATTATTGATGAAAATATTATTAATAATGGAAATAATAATACTAATAATTATAATAAAATAATAACAATAATAGTAACATCAATAACACTACTACTACCATTATTATTAATATGTATTATTATTAGTAAGAGTATTATTATTATTATTATTATTATTATTATTATTAGAATAATAATATCATTGCTGCTGTTATCATCATCATCATCATCATCATCAACAATTATTTTACCACTAAAAATAACAACAACAATAAAAAAAAAAAAATAATAATTAGTAGTAGTAGAGGTAGTGGTGTTGATGCATAAATTATTATTGTTATTGTTATCAAAAGTTGTATTACCACTATACTAATAATAATAATACAAATAATAATAATTAAACTATAAATATTATTATTTGTGATTATTATATCAATGTTTTGTTTTCTCATTCAGGTTACATACTGTATACCCTGCCAATTAAAAAAAAAAGAATAATAATAATTAAAAAAATAAATAAAATTATATAAAATAAATAATCCTTTTGCCTAAGATGTCAACTTGAATATTGGACCGAAAGGTTATTGCAATGCGTTTTGGGACTTCTGCTTTATTTTTACTTTTGAAATAACGTGTTTCCAGCATTTATTAAAAAGACAATCATTAGAGTGTGACATCATTTCCTCTTCACTGTGCAATGAGAAGAAACACTTCCCGCTCTAAGTCTAACTTGACCGCGGCTTCACACTCTAAAAACAATAAAAACTCATTTATAGGTGTTATTTTATTAAATATTTCTGCACCCAGAAACACGTTAGGTGACACAAAAATGACATTTCATTAAATCTGACCGCAGAAGAGCGAAGAACAAAAAGCAGATGTTTGGATTTCTGAATAGACCGAGCTTTAAAAAAAAATAAAAATCCCAGGAACAAGAGCGAGTTTCCACCCGGGACGCTGTGATAACTTGTAAAAACATGAACAAACAGCAGGTTTTGCAGAGTGACAGAGCAAGCCAATATAATTCCACCCTCAAGTCTGTAATATTTTCCCTAATAAAACATACTAGTGGTGAAGGAGGGTAGACATCTTTATAATAATCTTTATAATGTTTTTTTTTATAATAATAATAATAATAATAATAATAATAATAATAAATTAATAATAATATTATTATTAATATTAATTATTAATATTATTAATGTATTATTAATAATAATAATATTATTATATATAAATATTATATATAAATATAATAATATTATTATTATTATGGGTGATGCAGTGGCGCAGTAGATAGTGCTGCCTCACAGCTAGAAAGCCGCTGGTTCGAACCTCTGCTCAGTTGGCATTTCTGTGTGGAGTTTGCATGTTCTTCCTGCGATTGTGTGGGTTTCCTCCGGGTGCTTTGGTTTCCCCCAAAGTCCGAAGACATGCGGTACAGGTGAACTGGGTAGACTAAATTGTCCGTAGTGTATGAGTGCATGTGTGTGTGGATGTTTCCCAGAGATGGGTTGCGGCTGGAAGGGCATCCGCTGCGTAAAAAAAACGTGCTGGATAAGTTAGTGGTTCATTTCGCTGTGGCGACCTTGGATTAATAAAGGGACTACGCCGACAAGAAAATGAATGAATATTATTATTATTATTATTATTATTATTATTATTATTATTACTTTGCAATTAAATTAAATTAAATTAAATTAAATTAAATTGTTAAATTAAAATGTTGCGACCCCTGATAAAAAAGGGAATGAAAGCCGGATAAAAGTGAGGAGGGCAAAAAAAAAAAAAAAAAAAAATTAATTAAACAGAAAATAAAATAAATAAATTACAATAAAACATTCTTTGTTGCTTAACAGCAATGGCAGCTATGTAAAACACCAACACATATTTCTTGTTAGTTTTGTGGTGTTTTTTATGATGCTGATCATTAATAATGTAAATAAATAATAAAAAATTTTATTTAAAAAAAGCTAATTTATAGGTGATTATTATTACTAATATTAGTATTATTAATTCATTTTCTTTTCGGCTTAGTCCCTTTAATTATCAGGGGTTGCCACAGCGAAATGAACCGCCAACTTATCCAGCATATGTTTTACGCAGCGGATGCCCTTCCAGCCGCAACCCATCACTGGGAAACATCAACACACACTCTAAAATAGCACATGTCTTTGGACTGGAGGAAACCCACGTGAACATGCAAACTCCACACAGAAACGCCAACTGACCCAGCCGAGGCTCAATCCAGCGTCCTTCTTGCTGTGAGGTGAACGTGCTACACACTGCGCCACTGTGCAGCCATTATTATTATTATAATAAATATTTACATTGTTATTACTATTATTATTAATATTAATAACAACAATAATAATAATAATAATAATAATAATAATAATAATAATAATAATAATGTTATTATTATTAATAATAATAATATTATTATTATAAATGTTATTATTATTATTATTATTATTATTATTAGTGTTCCCAAATAAAATATGACGGTGTCGAACAAGTGCAAACATCTTTATAGCAATGGGTTTCTAAGTCAAACAGAGAGACCTACTGCCACAGGAAGTGATGTTGCAGTGTTGCCAGGTAACCGGTCGCCGTTGCCAGGCGCAGTGCTGGTCTGGTAGAGTTTTCTTGTTCTGGCGATGGACACACTCCACTCTGCGGGACTGGAAGCCACTGCCGCAGGCCACAGTGCACGTCCTCCAGGGGAAGACTTTCCAGTGTACATCACACATCTCCGAGGAGCAGTTCCTCACCGCTGACGGCCTGGACAGCAGTAGATAGCACACGTTAAAATAGTGCTGCGTTGAAGAAGAAGAAGAAGAAGAAGAAGAAGAAGAAGAAATGTTTAGCAGTACAAGAATGGCACCTTTCTTTCGGGTCGCATGTTTTGGATGTGGAGTTGCTGAAGAGTCTGCATGATACTGTTCTGGTCTGTGTGGCCATCGCTGGACCCAGACACCGACCTGCACACTAACGGACATCAAAATGATTAACAACATAGCATGACAGTATATATTTGAAGTGAATTATTAGCCCCCCTTTTTACCCCCCATCCCCCCACCCCCCATTTCTAAACATAATAGTTTTAATAACAGATTTATTTTACCTGACAGTAAATAATATTTGACTGACTAGATATTTATCAAGATGCTAACATTCAGCTTAAAGTGACATTTAAAGGCTTGACTGGGTAATTAGGCAAGTTAGGGTAATTAGGCAAGTCATTGTATAACAGGGGTTTGTTTTTAGACAGTCAAAAAATATTGGGGACGACCACATCGAATGTGCTTTTTGTATTGAGAGGCTTAACTAACGGACGTGAGCGTTTCACACACTGCTTATGCACCCTGTAGGCCTCGCGTTTTACCTCGCAGTTGAGAAAAAGTCAACTCTAAGCGGAAAAAGCGTGCTACGTTAGTAGCGTCAAGAAGACTTTGAAAGATGGAGGAGAGACCAGTGGTTGCTCTTTTGAGTTATGCAGAGCTTTATGACTTAAATTTTGAATAGCACAATATTATTAAATATCAAAATTATAACAATATCAACAGCAATATTCTTGCACAATATGCAGCTGATTCAGTCGTTGCCTGGCATGTTTGTAGTAATTGACCCCTAAGGGGGATAATAATATTGATCTTAAATGGTTTCGAAAAAATTGAAAACTGCTTTTATTCTAGCCAAAATAAATCAAATAAGACTTTCTCCAGAAGAAAAAAATATTATAGGAAATACTGTGACAAATTTCATGAAAAATGCTCTCTTAAAAATCAAATGAGGGCTTTCATTCAATATATATGTAATATATATGTAAATATTTCATTCAAGCGCAGGTTTCATTTTCATGTTTTGCACCACATTGTTTAAAGAGCAAATCTATTTGCGCCACTTTGTGTATGAGCGTGCTGGTCTAAAAAGGAGTAGTGTTGAGGCACCAAAATATCTTTACATATGAAAAATATAAAGGATTAAAATGGCACAAAAATAATTATTTTCTATATAAATATAAAAACCACTACCTCCATGCCTTCTTCACATCGGGGGGTTTGGAATCAAGCTTTATGGTAGTCTATTTATTTATGACACTTTGCATTTGTGTAATGTTATTATTATTAGTTGTATTTAATATAGGCATATTTATATTTGCTTAAATAAAAACAAGTTTAGATATGTCCACCTGACATGTTTTGGAGATGTCATCATCACTATATGTGTTTGCATATAACTATTGCAAAGTTTTTTAATTACAACAATGTAATTAATGTTGTAATAGGGCTATTTAATATCCACACATTTATGTATTATTGACCACCAAAATAATGACACACATTTTTTTAAGTTTTGCTCATCTTAAAGTGTTACAATCACTACAGAAAACTACAGATGCATCACTGAACTGGACTACAAATAACATAACATCATGCACCTCACGCACACCAGTTCCTGTTTACCTTTGATCACATACACACACAGCTGGTAACTCATCAGGGACTGATTAGCTAGACTTTATTTTCACCCCTCACACAAACACAAGTTTAGGAGTCTTGGGTTGCATCTGAAATTGGTGTGTTGATAGGGATAGAGTTGAGTAGCAGTCTATGTCAGTCAGACTAGTTGGTTTGGCTATCTGACTGGTTATCTATCAATGAATCGTAGCGCGAGTGTGATGTAGTGAAGTAACATAGCAAGTAAACAGCTCAAGTCAAGAAGGACCACTATATTTTATAGCAATATTTTCCCTACATTTCTCAAATAATTGCAAATTATATGGATTATTAGACTGCCAGACATTTTTTTTCAGGAGCGAATCTCTTCATGGTGAGTGACAGCTACTGTGATAATGGTGCTAAATACAGTTTTGTTCATGCTTTGCATGCACACATTGGAGGTTTTGGTCACCCATTGTGAACGAGAAAAAAGACACTGCCCTGTGTCCTTCCATGCAGGCGCAAAACACACACTCTAGTTTCAGTCGACTGCTGTCCGTTTGGTGTGTTCACGATCAGCTTTTTTGTCCAGAAGTGAGTAAAGCCTGGTTAATACTTCTGCGTCAAGTGACTGGCGTAACCCACGGCGCATGCAACGCGCGTAGCTGTGCATTTATACTTCTGCACGCTGTCTCTGTTGTTCTGCATTAACACTTCCGAAACGCTAGTTGGCAGTGAGGTGTAAATGTTCCTCTGAGTTTCTTCGCTGCTGTTTTGCTTTTGTTGAACACTTCCGGGATGTACAAGTGGCTCAAACTCGCTCATTTAGAGGCAGGAACCGGCGGACCTGCAACAACTTTAACTAGGAGTTAACACAAAACAAAACTTTCCATCCGGAGCTCCTTCACCAGACTCATCACTTGTAAACAATGGCTCTATCAGGCTTGCACCATTCACGCGGCTCTCGGTCCCGCCCAGACTCGTCAGCGCTACCAAGCCGACCAATCACAGAGCTTACGCTACGCGTCGTTGAAACGTGTAGTTACATTTTTTGAGAGGTGCACGTCAGCGACGCCAAAAGCCACGTCGAAGGGCTATGCGTCAGCACCGTAGCATACGCCGGCGTTTGACGCAGAAGTATAAATCAGCCTTAAATGTGAGGCAACAACACAGTTTGGGTTTCGTCGACTTGGTGCTGTAAGGTTATAATATCTAACCCTGAGAACTGTTGTGAAAATTCTACGAGACGAGACCACGAGAATTTTCAGTCACCAAAACTCACCTTTCTGATCTAAGAAGAAGATCAGGAAACCAGCTGTTCAATTGAAATCACCCTGAGCCCCTCTTCCTGACCTTCACTTTACCTTCTCCACCAGAGCAGATCACTCACGTTTCCACGCAAAATGTCCAAGTTTTTAATTCGGTGCATCTTGTAGCTCTATATTCATGTTTGGTATCATTTTAAATGTCTCTGTGTGATTGGTAAAATGGTCTCAATTTAACTGTAATATTTTACAATTTTACTTGTGTATGTTGATCTGGTTTTCGGCTTTGATAAAATCTTGTCCAGATGCTTCACCCAGAGCAAAGGTTTCACACCTAAAACTCACTAAGGCCCCATTTACACTAATGCGTTTTAGCTTGAAAATGCATAATTTTTTGCTACGGTTACGTCATCCGTCCACACTACGCCAGAGTTTTCAAGCGCCGAAAACTGAGCGTTTTGGAAACGATGAAGAGGCCGTTTTCATCCAAAAATGCTGCTGCTTCGTCTCAGTGTGAATGGGGGAAAACAGAGACATCTGAAAACGGAGGCGGGGCTGTCGATATTCACCTCTCTGATTGGAGCTTTTTCTCAATATTAAGAAGCCTACACACAGTTAAAGTTCTGCTTCCTCTCCCTGTAAGTTCAGACTTCGCAAGTTTGATATGGAAAACAGACTGCCGAGAACATATCGGTTAAATCTTCAAAAGGAACAGTGTACTTTATAACCTTATTCACATCACCCTGGCTACATTGTTTCACTCTCCTAACAATAAAATGAAAACATGAAGGAACTGCTATTTTCATTTTAATATTAACAACTTAACAGAAAGCAGAAATGTTGAAGCGTTGTGTTGCATATACATCTTCACCGTATGCGTATTCATAACAAAACGGAGCCTATAACATCACTGCCTCCTTTTATTTTCATTGAAATTACAAAACATCCCCTCTCTTTTGCTGAATATCAGTTTTAATAATCAATAATGGCCATTATAAAAGTATAATGTACAATAAGTTCATACATTATAGGAGATAAAGGCAAGCGATTACTCAATATGCAGAATGTATGTGGTTAGATTAATTATTAATTGATCTTTGCACTCAGCAAAAACACGTTACCCGAGAACAAGTAGTAGATTCAAAAGACCAAAGTCAGGAATATGTTGTTAGATATAGACAACAAGATGAATTACATATCACGTTTAACAAATATAGTGAGATTAGATCCAGCGGGAGATCCTTGATGAACACTCTCATCTGGGTAGATAGGCTGCAGCACATGCCAGAGAGTGTGTGTGTGGTCACGTGATGTGCGTTTTCAGTGTTTCGGTGTAGACGGAGAGCTGTTCAGAAACGCTGGGTGAAACGCTAGTGCAAACGCGGATCGTTTTCATTCTAAAACGCCATTTTAAAACTTAAACACACTAGTTTAAACGGGGCCTAACAGGCAAGGGTCGTTGTGAAGCTTTTTGTTGTCTTGAATTTATAACTGTTTGTTCTGACCTGAGTATTTAAGGGAAAGGTGCAAAGGATTGGTATCTTGCAGGCAAGATGCCCTGTTGCAGTGTGTGAGCCTCTGAGCCTTTGCATCAGAGACTTATAAGCTGCAATGTACTTTATACATTTAGAACTCTTGGATTTATCTTTGAGTAACTGATGTTGTACATTTCTATATTGGCATGATACACTTTCATCTGGAAAATAAAGTGTTAAGTTTTGATTCATTCTGAATTCTCCTGAAATCTTTTATATCCAGGAGATTAAGTGGAGTCTGCGCTTCCATTATGTTTGTGACATGATTATTTGAGATTATATGAAAATGATTAAATCAGCTACTCTTTTAGGATGAGAGATCAGGAGGCAACCAGACTATTTGAGTATTAGTTAACCCTACATCTTCAGATTAACTTCAGTGTTGAGACAATATCCGTGAGAAGAAATGCAATCCTGAGGCGTGGAACTCTAAACGGCGTTTGGCCCATAATGAACGTATAACTGAAGAGTATGGAATCAGATATAGATCAAAACTCTAAACTGTGATACGTTCTTACAATTATGAATACTGCTTAAATTTGATGGTCACTTAAAACTGGAATCAGATTAAATTCGGAGCTGAAAAACAAATGTAAATAAATTCTAATAACCAACAGAATTCTTTTCAGAAGTACTAGAAAAGGCTTACATGCGTTAACCATGCTGTTAGTTTGGTCATTGGGCTAACAGATAGACTTCTACAGTGTGTATTTGCCTTTAAAGATATACTCATATAATATTACCCCTGGCACATTTTGAATGTGCAGTAATGTTTGCTCTTCCCCAAATCATAAAAATCAGCTCTAATCAGGGTAGGAATCGGTATCTCAACATGTAAGTGTCTCAATGTTAATCCTTGTGTACTGTTCAAAAGTTTGACCCTTTTGTTATATCCGCAGCTGTTTTTGCCCCATTGGCTTCCATTATAATAAAATGTATTGATTGCAAAGCCATGGCAGCATATAGTCATGCATTTCTGATTGTTGGTGGTTTTCACTATTGGAATGAGATAAAATGTACTTTTGAAATCCTTCCACTTGCTAAAACAGAGAAAATTGTGAGCAAATTAAGACTCAAAATCATGGTAGAGTGGATGAAAACATCTCCAACAGAACACAGGGGTTAAGGAGAATTTGTGAACAAACCTTCATCAGCAGAAAGAACCAAAAGGCCAGACTAACCTTTGCTGAGGAGCATGTTGTGCCAGCGGGCTTCCACGTGAATTACAGTGTATGAATTTTTCAAGGAGCACGGTTTCAGCTAAAAATAACTGGAGTGTACTACTGAAGAAATATAGTGACCTACAGTACAACACTTCTTGTAGGAAAACTATCAGTTGCTTTAACCAACATCATGTACTGACATATCACGCTACCTGACAAAAGTCTTGTCGTCGATCCCAGTTGTAAGAGCAACAAATAATAACTTGACTTCTAGTTGATCATATGGAAAAGTGGCAGAAGGTAGATTTATCTGCTGAACTGCATCCCAATCATCACAAATACTGCAGAAGACCTACTGGAATCCGCATGGACCCAATATTCTCACAGAAATCAGTCAAGTTTGGTGAAGGAAAAATCATGATTTGGGGTTACATTGAGTATGTGGAGTGCGAGAGATATGCAGAGTGGATGGAAACATCAACAGCCTGAGGTATTAAGACATTTGTGCTGCCCATTACATTACAAACTACAGCAGAAGGCAAATTCTTCAGCAGGATAGCGCTCCTCATACTTTAGCCTCCACATCAAAGTTCCTGAAAGCAAAGGTCAAGGTGCTCCAGGATTGGCCAGCCCAGTCACCTGAAATGAACATTATTGAGCATGTCTGGGGTAAGATGAAGGAGGAGGCATTGAAGATGAATCCACATAATCTTGATGAACTCTGGGAGTCCTGCAGGAACGCCTTCTTTGCCATTCCTGATGACTTTATTAATAAGTGATTTGAGTCCTTGCAGTCCTCCAAGCTCATGGGAGCCATACACAATATTAAATCTTTTTCCACTGCAGCATGACTTTTTTTTTCCACTGCATGATGATTTTTTTTAATTATCAGGATCCCCATTAGCCACTACCAAGGTAGTGGCTATTCTTCCTGGGGTCCATCGAACATAACACAAAATTACATTAATACACAACAACAAAGACTAATAAAAACATTAAAATACAAAATTCATACATAACATCCAAATCAACAATCCACTTAATATTGTTCCATTAAATATTTTTTAAATGATTTTTTAAACCTCATTTTACTTGTTACAATGCATGTAATGTCTGATGGCAATTCATTCCATAGTTTCATTCCTCTATACATCACAGTACGTTGCTTTGCATTAGTTTTTGAAATGGGAAGCAAAAACTTTACATTCTATACTGTACATTATTTCTGTTAAGTGACAAGACGTGTCTAAGCAAAGTCAGATCTCAAATCATTCAAAATAAAGGCATGATCATATTTTATTTTGGTAAAATAAGCATATAGAGGCCTTTGCCTTTCATTTAAGCCACTTCTGATACAAAATGATCAACTAGAAGTCCAGTTATTATTTGTTGTTCCTAAAACTTGGATAGGCGACAAGACTTTTGTCAGGTAATGTACTTATGACCACTATTTTAGATGACTGTTCCACATTAAAGAGATCAGAATGATCATATAAAAGCATTAGTGAATGTACCTTCCCCCAGGGGCCAGAGATCCACTCAACACAGGCCTGAGAGCTGCACTCCTGTCGGTCTTCGGGTCGAGGAGAGCCCTCACACTCACTACTAGGCAAAACCTTCACACTTCCAGAAGCTTCCACCTGCTGACAGGAGACCCGCCTCTCTCTGAAGCCCCGCCCACAGGAGCTGGAACACCTCGACCACACTGTTGACACCCAGCTGAGCACATACAGAGAGGAGAAATCATTTAGTTGGGAGTTTTCAGTATTGCATGATGTATCCAGATTTCCTTCTTTATATATATATATATATATATATATATATATATATATATATATATATATATATATATATATATATATATATATATATATATATATATATATATATACACACAGTTGAAGTCAGAATTATTAGCCCCCCTGAATTATTCGCCCCTGTTTATTTTTCCCCGTTTTCTGTTTAACGAGGATAAAAAATTTTCAGCACATTTCTAAACACAATAGTTTTAATAACTCATCTCTAATAACTGATTTATTTTATCTTTGACATGATGACAGTAAATAATATTTTACTTGATATTTTTCAAGACACTTCTATACAGCTTAAAGTGACATTTAAAGGCTTAACTAGGTTAATTAGGTTAATTAGACAGGTTAGGGTATTTAGGCAAGTTATTGTATAATGATGGTTTGTTCTGGAGACTATCGAAAAAAATAAAAAATAGCATAAAGGGACTAATAATTTTGTACATAAAATGGTACTTAAAAAATTAAAACTCCTTTTATTCTAGCCAAAATAAAACAAACAAGACTTTCTCCAGTAGGAAAAACATTATCAGACATACTGTGAAAATTGACTTGCTCTGTTAAACATCGTTTGGGAAACATTAAAAAGGAGAAAAAATTCAAAGGGGGGCAAATAATTCTGATTTCAACTGTATATAATAATAATATTTTCAAAAGAGCATTGCAGTGAGTGTATTCTAAATTGCAATGCATTCCGCTTGACCTTCCAGAGTAACCTGATGAGCCTTAAGTCATGATTTAACATATACATAAGTAAATATATATATATATATATATATATATATATATATATATATATATATATATATATATATATATATATATATATAAACTTAATAATAATTAAATAATTAAATTACTATAAACCTGCAACATCATAAGGTCATGAAGAATCAATGTACAACCCTAAATTAGAAAAAGTTGAGACAGTATGGAAATTAAAAGAAAATTAAAAGAAAAAGAAGGTAGAGATTTCAAAATTTACTTTGACTTGTATTTCATTGCAGACAACACAACAACCATTATTTCATTTGTTCCTCTCGATTTGTATTTGTATTTAATTAAATTTTATTTAAAAAAATGCATATATTTTAATTTCAGTTCTTGCAACACATTTCGAAAAAGCTTTGTAATGTTGTTGCCATTCCTTTTCACAACACTTCAAAGACGTTTATGGACTGAAGACACCAAGTGATGAAGTGTTTCATGTGTAATTTTGTCCCATTTTCCTGCAAACTCTTAAGGCGGGCATACAGAGTTTTACACTTCAAAATGCACCACACATTTTCTATTGGAGAAAGGTCGTGTCAGGGTTCTGCCACTCTGATCTTGTAAATTCTTGTTTTGGTGGCAGATCTTTGACACTACTCATGTCTGGTCCTGTTTCTGTCTCTGTGTGCGCGCGCCGTCGTGGGTGTACGCAGAGTGTGCGCGCTCCTGCTTGACGTGGCCGCGTGCGCGCTCTGCGTCCCTCAGACGCGTGCGCTCTTGTACTCGTGTTTGTGTTTTCGTCTGTCAGCAGCATGGTGTTTCATTCCCAGCGTCTCAGTCTTGTTGGTTTCGGTTTTGGTCGGCGCTGGGATGAAGCATGCATGCTGCATATGTGAGCGCATGGTGAGTTTTCATTCATCGTGTGCTCGTGTCTTGCGTCTCTTGTCAAAGCACGTGGCTCGGTGTTTACATTGTGGTCACGTGCTTTTGTCGTGTGCTTCAGTGTTGTGTTTGTTGTCATGAACATGCGGTTAATGAGTTCTCTCATTGGCTGCATGTTCTTGTTGTGTTATGTGAGCGCATGGCTTGTATTGGCTCTCTGTGTCATGCGCTCTCCCGTCTATTGTCTTGTCCCACCCTCCTTGTTAACCCATTATTAGTTAATTGTGTTCACCTGTTTGTGTGTTAATCTTCTACAGTTTATATACCCCTTACTTTTGCTGTCCTGTGTCAGTTCGTCATCACATTTCGTCGTTTGAAGTCTAGTCCTGTTGTGTTTCCAGTCCTCATCCTTGCCAGTCTGCCCAGTCCTGTTTGTATGTGTATGTATTTGTTTTGTTAATGTTTTCCCCCTCGGGGTAGTTTATTTTGCATTTTATTTTATTTTTATTATTTAATAAAATCCCATTTCCCTGCATTTGAGTCCTCGCTCCTTTTTCCCCATTTCCCATCACCAACCCTGACAGTACGAACTGACCAAAAAGAGGACTCAGCGGAAATGGGACTATTTCTGCGCCCAGCTTGCTCCCAGCAAGAAGGACCCATCGACCAACCCCCAGCCAGAGGACTGTCTCACAGGCAGAACCATCGCCCCTTTGGCATCTACGCCGAAGATCTTCTTGAGGCAGTCCGGGGGCTTGGGTTCAGTGAGACCACCCTCATCCACATCTTTCTGGCTGGATTGGATGAGCCATTCGATTGGGAGGAGCTGGGTGATATCAGGACATGGACGTTTTGGGAGGTGGTGGACTATTCCTGTCTGAGGATGGAGAGGGAGATCCTGGAGGGGGAATGGACCCCTCTCACCACCAGCACCAGCACCATCTCCTGGTCCATGTCCAGCCCCCAAGGGTTAACCCGCACCCAAAAGCGGAGGCGGAAGAGAAAGGCCTCTTCTGCGAGGGTTGCTCCAGCCCCTGAGCGCCCTCCAGTGTCGGCTCCAGCCCCTGAGCGCCCTCCAGTGTCGGCTCCAGCCCCTGAGCGCCCTCCAGTGTCGGCTCCAGCCCCTGAGCGCCCTCCAGTGTCGGCTCCAGCCCCTGAGCGCCCTCCAGTGTCGGCTCCAGCCCCTGAGCGCCCTCCAGTGTCGGCTCCAGCCCCTGAGCGCCCTCCAGTGTCGGCTCCAGCCCCTGAGCGCCCTCCAGTGTCGGCTCCAGCCCCTGAGCGCCCTCCAGTGTCGGCTCCAGCCCCTGAGCGCCCTCCAGTGTCGGCTCCAGCCCCTGAGCGCCCTCCAGTGTCGGCTCCAGCCCCTGAGCGCCCTCCAGTGTCGGCTCCAGCCCCTGAGCGCCCTCCAGTGTCGGCTCCAGCCCCTGAGCGCCCTCCAGTGTCGGCTCCAGCCCCTGAGCGCCCTCCAGTGTCGGCTCCAGCCCCTGAGCGCCCTCCAGTGTCGGCTCCAGCCCCTGAGCGCCCTCCAGTGTCGGCTCCAGCCCCTGAGCGCCCTCCAGTGTCGGCTCCAGCCCCTGAGCGCCCTCCAGTGTCGGCTCCAGCCCCTGAGCGCCCTCCAGTGTCGGCTCCAGCCCCTGAGCGCCCTCCAGTGTCGGCTCCAGCCCCTGAGCGCCCTCCAGTGTCGGCTCCAGCCCCTGAGCGCCCTCCAGTGTCGGCTCCAGCCCCTGAGCGCCCTCCAGTGTCGGCTCCAGCCCCTGAGCGCCCTCCAGTGTCGGCTCCAGCCCCTGAGCGCCCTCCAGTGTCGGCTCCAGCCCCTGAGCGCCCTCCAGTGTCGGCTCCAGCCCCTGAGCGCCCTCCAGTGTCGGCTCCAGCCCCTGAGCGCCCTCCAGTGTCGGCTCCAGCCCCTGAGCGCCCTCCAGTGTCGGCTCCAGCCCCTGAGCGCCCTCCAGTGTCGGCTCCAGCCCCTGAGCGCCCTCCAGTGTCGGCTCCAGCCCCTGAGCGCCCTCCAGTGTCGGCTCCAGCCCCTGAGCGCCCTCCAGTGTCGGCTCCAGCCCCTGAGCGCCCTCCAGTGTCGGCTCCAGCCCCTGAGCGCCCTCCAGTGTCGGCTCCAGCCCCTGAGCGCCCTCCAGTGTCGGCTCCAGCCCCTGAGCGCCCTCCAGTGTCGGCTCCAGCCCCTGAGCGCCCTCCAGTGTCGGCTCCAGCCCCTGAGCGCCCTCCAGTGTCGGCTCCAGCCCCTGAGCGCCCTCCAGTGTCGGCTCCAGCCCCTGAGCGCCCTCCAGTGTCGGCTCCAGCCCCTGAGCGCCCTCCAGTGTCGGCTCCAGCCCCTGAGCGCCCTCCAGTGTCGGCTCCAGCCCCTGAGCGCCCTCCAGTGTCGGCTCCAGCCCCTGAGCGCCCTCCAGTGTCGGCTCCAGCCCCTGAGCGCCCTCCAGTGTCGGCTCCAGCCCCTGAGCGCCCTCCAGTGTCGGCTCCAGCCCCTGAGCGCCCTCCAGTGTCGGCTCCAGCCCCTGAGCGCCCTCCAGTGTCGGCTCCAGCCCCTGAGCGCCGCTCAGTGCCGGTCCCAGTCCGGCTCCTTGCCCTGCCGGCACCACCCAGACGTCTTTCCCTGCCGGCCCCAGCCCGGCTCCTTGCCCTGCCGGCACCTCCCAGACGTCTTGCCCAGCCGGCCCCAGCCCGGCTCCTTGCCCTGCCGGCACCACCCAGACGTCTTTCCCTGCCGGCACCACCCAGACGTCTAGCCCTGCCGGCCCCAGCCCGGCTCTTTTCCCTGCCGGCACCTACCAGACGTTTAGCCCTGCCGGCCCCAGCCCGGCTCCTTGCCCTGCCGGCACCACCCAGACGTCTTTCCCTGCCGGCACCACCCAGACGTCTAGCCCTGCCGGCCCCAGCCCGGCTCCTTTCCCTGCCGGCACCTACCAGACGTCTTGCCCTGCCGGCCCCAGCCCGGCTCCTTGCCCTGCCGGCACCACCCAGACGTCTTTCCCTGCCGGCACCACCCAGACGTCTAGCCCTGCCGTCCCCAGCCCGGCTCCTTTCCCTGCCGGCACCTACCAGACGTCTAGCCCTGCCGGTCCCAGCCCGGCTCCTTGCCCTGCCGGCCCCCCACAGACCTCTGGTCTTGTTTCCCCTCATAGACACTCCCTGGGTCGTCCCTCCTGCCCCTCCCTGGTGTTCCTTTCCTCCACCCTGGACGGACCCTCCGGCTCCACCCTGGTTCCCTGCTAGGGCTCTCGACCCGCTGGACCCACCCTGGACAGTTCCTCCGGTCCCACCCTGGACTGATCCTCCCTTGTCTTGCCCTCCCATCCCTCCCTTGTTTGT